ATTTTGTACCCCTCGTGGGTTCCCCCGTGGAAAGGACTCAAAACTCCGTGGGGCCCCATGGGGCCCTATGGAGCAGCCTAGTTTAAGTCGAGTTCGTCGACTTTATAATACTTAATCGTTTTATTTCGGATTCCGACGAGCAATCCGAAAAAGAATAAGCGGCTTTATTCGGTCTTGCTTAAGAAGTGTATTAAAATAAGCTTTTCGAAGACTTAAAAGAAAGTGCGATAATAGTTTTTTAAATTATTAATATTTTATTTTTGTATAGCAAATTCTCGTAAAAAAGCGATCGAGTCTTTTTAATCTATTAAATATCGTTCTTACGAAATTCGGCTTTTAAAGCCTTAACGAAAGCAATTTAATCTTTCTTAGCTTTTTATTCGAGCAAGCTTTTAACAACCTCTTTACGAAAGTTATCGTAATAACGAAAAAGCTTAACGAACCGATCGTTTTTAAAAATATTAAAATCATTATAAGTCTTTTCGTACTTCTCGATAAAGTCGATAATATTAATACTATTAAAGCAAAGAGCTCTTAAGGCACTTAGCAATAGCATGCGAATAGTTATAAAAGCGTAAAAGATAATAAGGTCGATTATAACTAACGCAAAGCTTAATGGAAAAGCAAAAGGAAAAAGAATAATATAAATCTTAAAACTAATATTGATTTTAAAAAGCATTTTCGAAGCAAGTGTTTTCGATAAAAGTAAAAGTTTTAATTAAAAGTCGAAGTAAGATAAAAATAGTCCGAAGCTTATAAAAATACGATTAAAAGATTTAATAAATTTAAAAGATTCTAACGAAAGAAATAGTGACTTTGCGCCGACTTTAATATTAAAAATCTTAAAAAGGTTTTCGGTATTTTAAAAATCAAATATATATATATATTAAGAATGATCGGGTTGATAAAAGGTTTTTAAATTATTTGATTTTGACTCGTAAATCGAGTTCACGAGCTAAATAAGCGATTTTCGCAAAGTATTTTCGATCCGAAATTAAAAAGAATAGACCTTTTGCAAAAGTAAACTAATAATCAAGATCAAAACTATAAAAAACTTAAGAATTAATTAATTAGCTTCGTTAATAACTCCGGATTATATTAAATGCTTTAATTCAAAATAAGAGTTAAGATATAAAAAGATATTTTTACTAATAAATAAAAATTCTTTCTTATTGATAATAAAAAAGAATTTTTGCCGAGAAGCCGAAATATTACACTTTAGCTATTGCGGCGTTTCGGTGTCCGAACCTATCGAAAATAAGGTTTTAATTGTTTTAAAGTTGTAATTATAAAGAGTGTAAAGAGAGCTGAATAATAAACGAAAGTCAATTTAACTGCGAATCAAGCGATTATAATAAACTATATAAAAATAAAAACTAAAAGTTTAAATCTTTACGTAAGTTACTAATGTAAAAGCACTTAAAAAGATATGCCGTATAGAAGCCTAGCTTTGAAGCTAGACCTTATAATCTCATAAGAGAAGTGCTAAAAAAGATAAGTAGAAAGCTCGTTGATTGTTCTAGCTAAGAGATATGTGCCTTCTTATAAAAGATAGGTCCGTCTAGTGTAGCCTTAGTAGCCATAGCAGGTACCCCATCAGGCAAGGTGTTTACAATATATACGAAAGTAAAAGCGCCAAGGACTCGTGAATTATAGTTTATAAGTCAAAAGCGAGGAATAAAAGAATACGAAGAATACGAAAGAAAAAAGGAAGGAAGTAGCTTAGCGCATGTGAGGTGCGTCCAGGAGACCTGGCGTGTCGTCACATCTTTAAGTCTAAAAGCACGTAATGAATTTCTCGTATTAAGTGATCGATTAGCTATTAGATCACTTTATTAAAAGCTTTATAGTCTTCGTCTTTCGGTTTTTAATGCTAAGCAGCTATCGATAAAGCGCAAGATGCCTTTAAATAGCAAATAATAGTTAAATACGCTTTTCGAGCACGTTGCTCTAAATACTCTTTAGCTCGTATTGCTAAATCGAGCTTAATTACGGCAAGCCTTTTACCTTGCTTTTTCTGCTTAATTGATAATCCGAACCCGTCTTTATTTAAAGATAGCTTATATCTATTAAAAATCATCGGTTCGGCGTTTATAAAAGTCTTTATTTCCTTGCTCTTTAGCTTAGATTTGACCAACTCTCTCTCTTCTTTTGCTTTTATAACTCGATTAACAACTATAAGAATATAATCCGTTTATAAAGCAGCTATTCTTAGCTAATCTTTATTAATTAACATAAAGAAGCAAGAATTAAAGCTCGATTGCTTTATCTTAAAGTTGTTCGTAAAATACTTTAAAAAACGCTTATACTAGTGCGTTCTTATTTCGAAGATCTCGTATAAAAAGCTAGTTATAAAAAACAAAGTGCTAAAAGAGAATCGATAAGTGATCTCTTTAAGTAGTCGCACGACGATTATTCGTATAAGCTTCGTGCTTAATTAAGTATAAGCTTAAATAATATCTTTGCTACAGACTTAACACTTGTAGTCTTTTATTAACGAAAAAGCTAAAGCATAACAGAGTCTTTAGCTCGCTCGCTATATTATAAGCGACTCGGTAAGTACTTTCGTTTTGCTTTTATTTTAAAAAGCTTAGACTATTATACGAGACTTCTCGTATAACGTAAGTGTTCTTTTACTTTTAATCTTATTAACAAACTTAAATTCGAAGATCTTAGCGCTTTTAACACGTAAGTCGATGCTCGAGATCACTTAAAAGATGCTTTAAGCTATTAATCTAATTAATTCTTTTGCTTTAAACTCTTAAAATAATGCTTTAAAGCTCTTAATAATTCTTTCGGCTCGTAACTTAATTAAGAGTTTATAGTCTCGGCGTTCTTTATCGATAACGAACATTTCGAAGTCTTGTAGTGCTTACCAGCACTAAGATCAAAAGGAGATTCTGTAGATTGAATAAAGCTTGGTATTCTATTTAAGAAGCTCGTCAAGATCTATGTACATGTACTTAAGAGCTCTAGTGTGCTAAAGGCGCTATTAAGCGAAGTCACATAACATGTTATATATAGCTTAAGTAGAACTATGCTTGTTTCGCACAACACACTTTTTAAGTTAGCAGCGTAACTGCTAAGCTGCAAGCAAATAAAAAAGAAAAAAAATAAGTGATTAAGCTCTTTAAACTCGATATAAACAAAAAAGATTATTATCGCAATTTAAAACAAACAAATAACGATTGTTATTATTGATTGAGTATTAATTAAAAATGCAATTCCTTTTTAAGTCGGTCTTATTACGTAGCGGAAGTCTTTAGCGCCGTCTTTGTCGCGTTGCTATATAAATAAGAGCGCGTCTTTTTCTATTATATTAAATACTTAAATTTTATCTATTTACATAATGCCTCTTAAGCAAGTAACTCAGTCTAATAGAATCGTTAAGCGTGGCCGAGGCCGTCCAAAATTAAGTAGTGCTTTTAATAGATTAATATTTTTATGCTAACTTATTAAAAGAATCTTTTATCTGCTTTAGCTATTGCTGCTGCTGCAATTGCGGCGGCGGCGGCGATTATACTTCGCATTCTTACCTTCGAACCTTCGCCTTTTCTTTTAAACCTTTTTATCAAGCGCTTGCTCATGCTAACGACCGTCAAAGCTTTAAAATGCATTAAGTGCATTAATAATAAGATCACATCGAGGTCTAATAAAGACTGTTATAATTACGATACGAGCGCTATTCGCTGTCTCCGGTGTACTAAAAGTAATTATAGCAATTGCACCGCTGCTTTTGCCGCTGTTAATACCGCTTTCGAAAACTTCGTAAGCGCTAAAAATAATAGTGCTATATAAAGAGTTCGCCGAGGTCTTCGAAATACTATGCGATAACAGCTCGCTTTAAATGCTGCCTTTTTAAAAGGTGTTGCTAAAAGTCTAAGCGGTCTAGCGAGTAGAAATAGAAGTTTTAAAAGTAGTCTCGATAGCTTTATAAGTTTTGCTTTTGCTTTTAAGACTTTCAATTTAAATGTGGCTTTTATTAAATTGAATAGTCTTATGTTGTGCGGAACAAGCATGGTTCTACCTAAGCTATATATAACATGTCATGTGACCTCGCTTAATAGCGCCCTTAGCATATTAAAGCTTTTAAGTATATATACATAGATCTTGACGAGCTTTTTAAATAAAATATATTAAGCTTCATTTAACCTATAGAATCTCTTTTTGATCTTAGTGCTAGTAAGCATTACAGTTAAGAGCTATATTCGCACTTACGAGCTATTCAGTTAGTCTTTAATAACTTTTAAATTAATCGAAAGCGGATTTTGCAAGTTACTTTAACGCTACTTTGCTATAACTTTCATTTTGCAATTTGTCCTTTTTCAATTATATTCATTTTTTATAATCAATACTTATTACTTTTAAAAACTTTAATTAATTTTCAAAAGCTTTAATTATAAAATCAATTGTTACAATAATAAACGACAAAGTAAAAGAAGTCCTTTTAATTAATAAAATGAACTTTATAAGTCGTAGCGACTTCTTAAAATAGATTACGAATTATAAATACTTGTAGTGCTTACCAGTACTAAGATTAAGAAGAGATTCTATGGATTAAATAAAGCTTAATATATTCTATTTAAAAAGCTCGTTAAGATCTATATACATGTACCTAAGAGCTTTAGTGTGCTAAAAGCGCTATTAAGCGAGGTCATATAACATATCACATATAGCTTAAGTGGAACTATGCTTGTTCCGCATAACACACCTTTTAAGTTAATAGCGTAGCTGCTGAGCTGCAAGCAAACAGAAAAGAAAAAAAATAAATAATTAAGCTTTTTAAACTCGATATAAACAAAAGAGATTATCATCGCAGTCTAAACAAATAAATAGCGGTTGTTATTATTGATTAAGTGTCAATCAAAAATGCAATTCTTTTTTAAATCGGTCTTATTACGTGGCGGAGGTCTTTAGCGCCGTCTTTATCGCGTTGCTATATAAGTAAGAGCGCGTTCCTTTTTATCATAATAAACACTTAACTTTTATCTATCTACATAATGCCTTTTAAGCAAGTAACTCAGTTTAATAGAATTATTAAGCGCGGCCGAAGCCGTTTAAGAATAAGTGCTTTTGATAAATCAATATATTTATATTGATTATTAAGAGAATCCTTTTTTTGCTTTAGCTATTGCTATTGCTGCAGCTGCGGCGGCTGCGGCGGCTATACCACGCACTTTCACCTCCGAAGCTTCGCCCTTTCCTTTAGACCTTCTTATTAAGCGCTTGCTTATGCTAACGACTGTCAAAGCTTTAAAGTACATTAAGTGCATCAATAATAAGATTACATCGAGGTCTAATAGAGACTGCTATAATTGCGATACGAGCGTTATTCGCTGTCTTTAGTATGCTAAAGGTAGCTATAGCAATTGCACCGTTGCTTTTGCCGCTGCTAATACCGCTTTCGATAACTTCGTAAGCGCTAAAAACAGTAGTGCTATACAAAGAGTTCGCCGAAGTCTCCGAAATGCTATACGATAATAGCTCGCTTTAAATGCTATCCTTTTAAGAAGTGCTGCTAGTAGTTCGAGCGATTTAGCGAGTAAAAGTAAAGGTTTTAAAAATAGTCCCGATAGCTTTGCAGGTTTTGCTCTTGCTCTTAAGACCTTTAATTTAAATATAGCCTTTATTGAATTGAATAGTCTTATAACAGCGAACCGTGGTCCGATGACTCGGAGCGCTTCGAGTATATTACCTCTTCGTAAGTTAAGCTTTTTGATTTCCGAAATAATCTAATTTAAGCAGCTCTTTTTAACCAGAACTTCTTCTCGGACTTTATGCAAAGGCTTTAATCTGCTGCTATAGCAGCTCTTGCGCTTGCCGCCTTTGTTGCTCCCGTCGCTTTCGCTGCTCTCGTCGCCTTCGCAGCTCTCGTCGCTTTCGTCGCATTTATTATCGTCGCTCCTTTTGCGCTAGTCGTTGCGCCTGCCGCTTTCGCAGCGGCGCCCGCCGTTGTTATGATTCTTGCAAAGCGCCGAGCTAAAGTAAAGAGATTGCTAAGAGCTTTAATCGATCTTTTGTTATAAAAAGCGAAAAGTAGAAGCGTATAAAATAAGATAAAATAACGGTTAAAATTGCTAAATAGATGTTTTCTTTTGAATCACGTGCAAATAAAAATAAAAAAAATATAATAAGTGAATAGCATATGCGTACTATTAAAGCTTTTCGATTAACGCGCGAGCGTCTTGTAAATTTAAAAGCTTAATAAAGCTTTTAAACTTTTGTCGAGTCAAGTTTTTTATAAGACCGTTAGCGTGCATCTCTTTAATAAAAAGATATTGAATCTAAAAGCTCTTTTTAAAGTGCTTTTAACGCAGCCATATATTATAAATATCGACGTAACGAAGCTTAGTAAAGATACGCTTCTTTTTATTAGCTATAAGCTTTATTGTTTGTTAATTATCATAATAAACTACTTAAAGCGCCGCAAAACGAAAGTGCAGCTCCTTAAAAAAACGTTAAAGCGCTATAATCTCTTTTATTATGAAAGCTATGCTAAGAAGCTCCGCTTTAATAAATGATATAATAATTGTATCTTGCTTTAAAGCTTTTTAAAGAATCGCACTTTCGAATAAAAACATAATGTACTTTTAAAAAGATCGCTTTATCTCTTCGTTATCGGCGTAAGAAGCGTTAAAAGCTATTATTAGCTTTGATTTGCTGAATTAGCTGTATTGAATACTTTTAAAGCGCAAGCTAAATAGATATCGCAAACACTAGTTTATAACTTAAAAGTGCTTTGCGCTTAAATTAATGCTAAAGTAAAAGAGTTGAAAAGCTGCAAAAGCTATATTTAAGCGTAGCATAATCGCTGTATATAGCACGGATCTAACCTTTTTTTAGTACTCTTTCACTTGCTTTCGCGAAGCTATCCTTTTATTTTTAACTAAATCATAGAACGGTAATAAAGTTGCTAAGCAGCGTCCGTCCGTAAGTTCGAATTTCTTAATTATTTTTTTAATATAAGCGTCGTGCATAAGCGTTAGCGTTCTTCGCTAACAGTCTCGAGCGATTCTTATATTAAGAAATCATTTAATATCTCTTATCGCTTCGATCTCGTATACTTTATTAAAACCGTTAATAATCTTTTGCGCTTTAAAAAGATTAAAGTGATAGTATATAATTTGAATATCGTTTACGTAAAACGTTATAAAAACCGTTTTGTTTAGATTTGTAAAAATACACGGTTTTTTATCGAGTAGTATAAGCTTTAATTTATCGAATGTGCTTGTGAAGTCGAAATACTATAAAACTAGCGAGTTTCTAAATTTATATAAGGCTTTATCGACCTTTACGAGCATACCTTTTTGCTTAAAACCGTTAAAGAAATAATACGTGATTAAGACGCTGTTCGTATATTTTATAGCGTTAATAAAAGCGTTGACGACGTCGAACTGTTTTATTTTTAAATCAAATTCGGCTATTATAGCTATCATTATCTTAAACGATCTAGCTGTTAGCGTAGTAGCGTAAGTTGAATAGATAATAGATTCGTTTTAAAAGTCGCTTTTAATTATAATCTTCGATTTAAACTTTACGATCTTTTCGGACGAGCTAGTCTTATATATAAACACTTACTTAAGAAGTATAAATTTTAACTTAGCTTCGCTCTCGAAAATCACTCTTTAGCAGTTCTTTTTCTTTAAATTATTTAGCTTTATAAGAGCTTCGTTTTTAAACTCTTTGCCGTATAAGTATCGTTATAGCTCTTTTTAATAAATAAAAGGTTTTAAATGTTTTCGTTCTTGCGGGTTAAGCTGTTTTAATAATAGCTTAAACGAAGTAGCAGCTGCTATAATAGCGTGCAATGTCTCGTAATCTTTACTATCTTCGCGCACGGGTTCGCTATTAGCTTAGAAAGTCGATACAAAATCTAAGACGCGCGAATAGCGGTTCGAATCGGCGCGAAAGTTATTTAAAAGAAGCTTATTAATACTTGCGTATATCCTCGCGCGTTTTTTAATGCAGCTATTGATAAGTGAATGCTTTTTACTAAAGTCGGAATTTTATTTAAAGTGTTTATAGTTTAATTTCTTATTATTAATGCTCGCTTTAAAAAGGTCTAAAAGCTCTTTCTTAATTATTCGGTTTAAATTTCCGCCGGTTGTTAACGTAAAAGCTTCCGTTGGTCGGCTTATAGCTTAGCTCTCCGAGCCCCGGCTTTAAATAACAACTTAAAAGTATGATTTGCGCGCTCTCTTATTAAGGCCAAGTTTTTGCCCGTTTATAGTGCTTTTCTTTGCTTTTAGCAGTCTTAAAGCACTTTCGCCTTTGCTTTTAGCTAAGAAGCTAGCGAGACGTTCAGCGGTATAGCTTAAATTGTCAAGGTCTATTAGATCGTCTTGTAAAGCAAATGCTTTTAGTATAAACGTATCTATAAAGTCTTTAATTAAAGTTGGAGCTCTTAACGTTTATGCATTACTCGGATTAAATAAAGTCGCATTCTTTAAGCTTTAATTAAATCCTTTTAAGTTAACCTTTATAAAGTTTAACGGCTGCTTACCTTCTATATTAGTTGCATTCGTCTTTTTTAAGCGATCTTTTGCAACGTTTTTTATATTAAACAAAGCGTCTTTTGTTTAATTAAAGTCTTTAATATCTTTTAATTTAATAACGATGCTTTTAATCTCGCTAATCGGTTGGCCGACCGATTTTTTTTCGTTTTTAAGATAAAATTAAGTCTTATCGAACGTTACGTTGCGTATAACAATCATTTTATAAAGCATAAGAACATAGACTTTGTATATGTTAAAAGTTACATATTTAATCAAATAGCTTATATATCCTTTCGATTTAATTTTAAAAGCTCTTTTATTGCGAAGAGCTTTTCGGTCTTTAATTATTAAGTACGCACGAGCGTTATACGCAACTAAACCGCTATAATTTAATTTTAAGTCGATATCGATCCGTATAAAGATCGCCGGATCGTACTACTTAAAATATTACTTAAATTAAAGCTATAGCACTTTATTCGGACTTTTTATAAAGCTCTTCGCTCTCGGTGTTATATTATAAAAGTAAATAGCGGTTAATATAATTTCAAGCTAGAGCTTTTTTAAGAGCCTTGCTTTTATTTTCATTTTAATAAACCGTTTTATTACTTTTCTCTTAGCCCTTTCGGCTCCTTTATTAAGTTCGTAATTAAAAGATAATAAAAGCTTTAACTCGATCTTAACTTCTTTCGCTTATTTTTAATATTCGGTAAAGCTGATAACGTTGATTGCGATTACCGAAGAATCGTTATTATAACGTATAATAGCTATTGAAAAACCGTATTTGCGTCTCGTTTATGCTTTAAATTTCTTTAACACTTTTATAATTGTTAATTATAACTTATCCTTTAATATAAAGCCGAATAGCTTCTTATTGTATTTATCTTTAATTATTAATAATTATTTGCTCTCGTTAAAACTGTTAAGAAAGTCGAATAGATCTTAAGCGATCTTATAGAATAGCTTAGCTGCTTTATTATTTAACGTGCGACGAGATATAACTTATTAAGCGTGCGTAATAGCATATGCTTCACATTTAACCTTAATGATTCCTTTAAGTCTCACCTTTTTAGCGTTATAAGCCAGCGCTTCGAAGGCTTCTTTACTTAAATAACTTATTTGTAAATGCTAAAGTATCGATAAATCTTCTTTTAAAGCTCGGAAAACACTGCTCTTTTAAAATTTATAGCGTATTTACAAGCGCTTTTAAGTTGTAAAGAATATTATTAAGCAAAAGGAGCTACGAATTAATTAAAGCAAAGAATAATTGAATAGCTTATATTTAAAGAACGTAAAGTTGAACTTCCTCTTTAACTTTCTTAATACGACGCTTTCTTTAACCTCTTCGTAGCGAAGAGTTGCGTTATATCCCGAGTACTATACGCTAGCCTTGCTTAAAAGAGCTTCCGAGATGATATTAATATTAAATCTTTTAACGATAGCGACGTTTTTTAATTTTAAATCTTCCGTCTTAGCTTTATTTGGTCCGTTTAAAGCTCTTTTAAAGACTTTAATCCTTCGCCCGACGACTAAGAGACTACTCGTTTTAGCTTTAATAAAGTCGATTAAGCGGGAGCGCTGAATTAACCTTAGCATTAAAAGATTCTTATCGTTAATAAAATGAGTAGCGCCGCAATTATCGAGAAGAATGCTGTTAAATAGCTAGTGCTTATTGTCAGCTATGCTATAAAGACCGTTAAAGATAAGATTATCGAGCGTGCTAAAGAGCTTAAGATCGATAATAATTATTAATACTTTTTTAAAGTATTTTGATTTATCGCTATCGTTCGATTGCTTTTCCTTGCTTTTTAAAACGATCTTATCGACTTGAATTTATGCTTACCTTTTCTTTATGATTTCTTTTTGAAGCGCTTTAAATTTAAGCTCTTAAAGCCTTTTCTTTATAGCGACGATATCATCTCGGTTCGGCTTTGCGAATCCACTTTCGTTAAGACCGTTAAAGCAATAGCGAAAGATCTTGCACTTGATTGCGTCTTAATAATAGTTTCTTCTTTTAAAGCACGAGCATTTAAAACTTTTAACAGGTCCTTTAAAGCTATCGGAGCGTTTACCGGACTGCTTAAAAGCAATATCGTTAGCCTTATTACTTTCGAAGGTGTTGCGAGTAGTTTGATCTCCGAAAGTAACGAATACGCTAAAGAAGTTAAAGTTCGGATTGCTCGTCTTTTCTTCGACTTAGCTTTCGTACTAATTAAAGTAGTCGTAAAAGGTGCGCTTTTAAGGCAATGACAGCTCGTCGTTTCGAATGACCTTTGCGAGCTTTAGCGACGCTTAAGTTAATAACTATTTTTCGCTAATAGCTTTTAAGAATGCTTTTATCGCGAGTATACCCGTCGTTTCGTAGAAGTTGTTCATCTTCGTTAACTTATAGATAGCTCGATGTTCTTTGATTTATACCGCTAAAAAGACGCTCTTTTACTTAGCTGCTTGCAAAGATTTATTATAGTTTCGTACTATCGATAGCTTAAAGCTCGAGTCGGATAAACAGCATATTTCTTAAAGCTTTTCTATTA